TTCCTTTCTTCCTTCCTTTTTCCTTTATTCATTCTTCTTTCCCTTCTCTCCTCCCTTCTTCCTCAGATATTTCAGTCCATATTCTGGACCAGTTACTACTCATCTAAGCTAGGTATTGGAGATAAACCATAACTAAGTCAGATTCCTTCCATGCCCTCAGGAAGTCCAGTCCCTCAGGAGGAATACAGCCAACTGAACTAGTACCATGCTGTCATGGCAAAGGTATGGGCTATTGGATATGGGCGACATTTGGGAGGGACATGCATCAAAATCTAGAGGGAGTCAGAGAAGGTTTCCTTGAGGGAGTATCTCTAAACCAACACTTGAAGGATGATTAACTTTATTTCAATGAAGGAGAGTTATATAGTAGCAGAGAAGAATGTTCAGGTATTAGCCCAGAGGCAAGAGAAAGCATAATGGAGCCCATGAACTAACAGCAGTTCAGTAGGAGTGTGGGAAGGCAGAGAGCAGTGAAAGAAAGACTGAGTTGAATTCCCTTTAAAGATAAATTGATGCTTGTAAAACTCCATTAGGAGCTATGAAGTTTACAAGATAATACTTAATTATAATAGAATAATCTAGGATAGTGAGTTATAGAATGAGAAGTCCTAAAGCAAAGAATTCAGATTATGAACTTCCCTTGGGATTTAGAGGAGAAATGGTCATCATGGACCGCAGGAAGCAAAGAAGTCTTCAGGGAAGCTTTTGAAAGATAAGTAGCATGTTTATAGATTACCTTCTTGCTTTCCTTTTCTCCATGAACAAATAGTCTATACCATCTGTCTCTAGTTCTTCGATTTCCATTCTGTCTTCAGCTTATGGCAACCTCCATTTTGCCTGTAATACTTGAAAAGGGCAGTAATGATCCCCAACAGCCAAATCCAGTGTGTTTGTCAGGCTTTCGTCCACTGTGATGTTCTTTCTCAGGACAGTTCTCTCTTTCTTAGACCCTATTCTTCCTCTGGCTTCTGGACCACTGCTTACTTCTGGGTCCCCCTCTAATTCTGTCTCCTTCTCAGGGTTCTCCTTATCTGCCCCTTCACAGAGCTCAAACGGTCCCCAGGCTCCAGACTTTGGCTGTCCTTCCTTCCTGATTTCCCTGGGTGATTAAAATGCCATCGATGTATCCATTAAGGACTCCCAAAGCATTATCTTAGGCTCCACACCTACAGTTCCAAACCTCTTGCTGAACATCTCTACCTGAGTGTCTTGCCCCACTTCAAATGAAGTAAAATCCATCCTCCCTCCCCTTATTCCCTTTGCATTAATATTTTCATCTTCTACCTTGTTTTTCAAGCTAGCACTTGGGAATCTGCCTTGGCTTCTTGCATTTCATTTTCTCTTCACCCATGTTCAGTGATTTGCCAAATTTTACACTCTACACTCCAGAGATGTTTCTTGATTCTGCCTGATCCTCTCAAATCATACTGCCTTTCCCTTAATTCAGAGCTTCACCATCTATTGCTAAGACTGTATAAGAATGCTTTTAATGGTCTCCCTTCCATTCAAGAACAGCCTTTCTAAACATCAAACCAAAGCTAGTCTTTTATTTGCTTACGGCACTACTCTGACATTTTGTTTAGGGGAAGAAAGGTATTCTGAGGCTGAAAAACTTCAAAAATTAGGAAGCCAAACTCTATAGCCTGATGTACATGACCCTTGGTGATTTAGCTCCAAACTCTCCCCACTCCCCTAATCTTCGTTCACTCAGAGTCCTCCTGACAGCACTGTGCTCCTCCACGGCCCCCTGTCTTTGTGTGTGCTGATTTCCCCCCTTGAAGTCCCCTGTGTTTGCTCTCCACTCTCTTCACTTTCTCTCCCTGGCAAATTCCTGATGATTCAACTTAAATCTTACTCTCATAGCTGTCCCTGAGAGAGGAACCTGCAGGGAGACATTCTTCATAACTCTCTTCTACAATCCTTACCACATCAGTTGCCTCCACCCCCAGATTGCTTCCCACCCCGCACCCGCCATGGCACAGAGTGAGTCTTCCTTATGTTTGTACCCCAGCTGGTCGCCCAGCATCTGCGACGCAGGAGGTGCTGCTCTGTTCACGTGAGATAAGGCTGCTCCTCCTCCTCCTGCTGCTGTTGCAATGGCCAAGCCAGAGGAGATTTCGGGGGCAAAAGAGTGAAATATCAAGAACGATATTTTAGGTGTTTAGGATGATTGATCTTAAAGTCAAGTGAAGAATGGGTTAAAAGGGGGGAAGTCTGAAGTCAGGGCAATGGGGTCTCACAGAGATTCTCAGAATAATAAGGGATTAATTTATAATCTATAATAATTATAATAATCTGTGATAAAATGTTAATCTAACTGGATTGAAACCTACTGCAGATTCATTGCTGAACTGATGAAATGAGAGAATAGATCTCAGGGAGAAGGGTGGAAGCCCAGAGTCTCTTCATTTTCTTTGGCGATCCCGACTATGGCAATGAGTACTTTTGTCCATTCCCTCCCATGGTGTTTTCCGTCCATGGATCATCTTTCTGGCTCTGCCGGCCCTCTCCATCCCCACTGTATCGCTGGAGGGGCAGCAGCAGCATGCTCTTTCTTCCTTCCTGTGTGGCAGACACTGCTATGCACTTCACTCCTATGACCCCATGAAAGATAGTGAGGTAAGTACTATGTTACCTCCCCTTTACAGATGAGGACAGTGAGGCTCAGAGACGCTAATTCAGAAAAAGCCTCCTCACTGCGCAGCTGTGGACCCAGGGGAGGAGCACAAGTCTGATGCTGACCTCTCTTCCATTCACTGCTCAGTCTCAACAACCTCCATTTAGCCAAATATGTTTTGGACCAAATATCTGAATATTCACAAGTATTCAGTTAATATCTTCTTTGTGAATGCAAATTAGGGAAGTTACAGTTGCGGAGAAATGAGTTCTCCAGATATTTGAAACACATATCTTTGAGCCCTGTGGCTTCTATAATGTTGCCGTAAGGTTGAATACTTCTCTAAAATCGTTAGTCCAGGAAACCAGATAGCCAAACTTGTTGGATTCCTGTCCTAAATCAAAGTAAATTGGCACTAAATGACTCTCTTTTAAGAAAAGTGTGTAACTTTGGCACATGGGCTTAACCTCTGTGCTGCCCAAATTAAAGGCAATTTTCCTGCACTTGTGAGTTCTCCCAGGCCTCACATTGCTAGACAGCATCCCTGCCAATGTAGACTCACAACTTGCTTCCCTGCTTTAAAGTTGAATCTCTTGACTTTTTTCAAAGCGTGGTTCATGGACCCCATGCATCAAAAATCAGGATACTGTTTTAAAATGCAAATTTCCGGACTCAACCTCGGATCTACTGATTTAGAACCTTCCAGGGTGAGGCCCCAAAACCTGCTTCTCTTTATGAAATAACAGTCATACAAAATAACAGGAGTGTGGTGATGGTCCCTTGAATAAAGTGAGACTAAAAGTGCTAAGCATGGTCGTTAAAGTATGCAGACATTTAATAATAGCTGTTAGCCTTGGCAGCTCTATTTTACATTACGCCCTGCCAAATGCCTTTCAGCTAGTGACCTTCTGTGGTAATTAATCACAAGCATATCAGCTCTGTAAATGTTTAGACTCAGTTCAAGCAGCTCTAGCACCTGCCTAAGTGATCCCTCTTCCTACCCCTCTTTATTTTGTTGTATAGCTTTGATTTGCATTTCTCATCTTCAAATACATGTAAGTCATTTTCTAAGAGCCTCCTCTGAGCAGGAACTCTACATGGATTTCACTTAATTCTTGTAAGACCCCACAAAGGAGACATTATCAGCCCCATTGCACAGCTGGGAAAGCTGAGACTTTGCTTAAGGTCACAGAACCAGAGAGTTGGGGGAGGAAAGTCTGAATGCCAGACACCTGACCCCATAATCAAGTGCCTCCATAAGCTTTTCCCCAGTATTCTCGGTTGTTTCAGCTTAGATGGCTTCTTTCCTGATAGGTGCAGATACAGCTGTAGTTTAAGCATCCTGTCTAGGACCTCTGGGCACAACTGTCACCCAGGCTGTTTCTGTGGCACATCCGTCTGTGGTACTTTTCAGATCCTCACCTTACAAAGTTAACACACTAGGAAGGAAGAGCAGATAAATGGTATTGCTTAAATTTGGAGGCATAATTAAAATCTAGACTTTTTTTAGTAGAATTTTTGTTCATGTTTCTTTTTGCCAGTTTCATTAACCTAATGTGTGTGGAGTCAAGAGATGAACTTTTCCCCTGGCACTATTACTGATTTTTTTTGTCAGTACTGATGAATCGGGCTTTCTGCAAAGATAAGAAATGTTCTATATCTGCATTGTTCAGTACATTTGGCACTGGCCACATGTGGCTATTGAACTGTATGGCTAGTGTGACTGAGGAACTGAATTTAAAATTTTAAATTTAATTAATGAATGTTTAAATTTGAATAGCTTCATGTGGCTAGAGGACACCATATTGGACAGCTTAGGCCTAGATATGTCTACAGGAAGGCACTGACGTCAAGCATCTAAAAATTCAAACCTGAAGCCAGACTGGCTCATTAGCCTGTGTGACTTTTTGCAAGTTACTTGACATCTCTGTTCTTCATTACTTTGACTATAAAATGACAGTAATAACACTATGTGCCTCACAGGTTGGTTGTGAAGAGTACACTGAGCAGTCTTAGGTAAAGACAAGCACAGTGCTGAGCACGTTGTAAGAACTCATCCATGTTAGCAGCTGTTATTTTACTATTATTAGCTCGCCTTCCTAAAGAATTTGAAGTTTCCTGCCTTTTTACTTGTGATGTGAAATCTACTTAAAAGTGCTGACACCATGGTAGCTGCTTAGTAAATATGTACTGAATCAAATGTTTGAAATCCCTCGGATTTAGGACTTTCGATACAGAGTCTTGGGAAATGCCTTCCCTCCATCAGATATGCAATAAGGACGTGCAAGTCTGTTTGATGGTCGAGACGAATGAGAAGAAAAGGAAGTGAGGAGGCTCTAATACTGATGAAGGAAAAATAAAACTCTTTCATCTTTTGTCCCATGCAACTCAAATACCTATGATCTAAAAATACTCCTCTCAGATTTGATATGTGAGAGGAGATGATCAAGGGAAGGGACATTTTAACAGGACATGTGATAAGTAGCAGGAGGCCATTTCTCTTCTGGGGTATTACAAGTTGATCTCGGTGACTTACTAGCCAGTCGGTATGCAAGTACCCTGTGCATCGAAATAGCCACACATACCTAAAGACAATTGCGCACCACATACAGTGTGTGCCTGTCTATTGCGTGTATGTGTACAAATATGAATATTGACATTAAAATTAGATAGTAAAACCTTTTGATTTAGTGCCAACTGAGCCTAGCCACAGTAAATTGAACATCTGAGCTATCTTGGCATGCCTTAGCTTTATAAGGCCTTGTAAATGGCTACATAAATATTTTCTAAATGGAAATCATATTAGACCGGAGGCTTAGAGTGCTGTAGATAGGAAAGAGAGGTAAATAATTGCCTTTTTATTTTGTGACCATATTAGAAATGCCAGACAATGGAAAAACTAGTAAAATTAAAAAGGAATTCCTGAAGGAAAACAACGTGCTGGCTCACACAGAGCCTTTCTTCTTCGTCTGCCCTGCCGATCGATGTTGACTACATTCCCAGCGACTCGGTTTCACAGTGAACGACTCAGGCTGCTGTGGGTCTGGGACAGAGATGGCGTGGGGCTGGGGGGACTCAGGAGACACCATGCTGTCAGTGAGTGCTCCTGCCTGCTAAGCCAACAGCTGAAAAAGAGAGACCAACCGCACGACTGAGGGAAATATAATATGTCCTTTTAACGAGTTGAATTTGAAGAACTTTTTCAGGAAAGGGGAACTGAGGCCCTTCTGAAGGGTTTTGTTGATGACAGTTGCCAGCCTACACCTTGAAGAGCTGGTAAAAGGTGCCCAACATAGATATTTGTCAGTTTACTGCGAAGAAGTTCTCTCCTTTGAAAAACTTTCGGTGGCATGCTACGGAGATGGCCCTGTTGGTACAGCCTTATTTAACTGTTGACTTTGTGTTGATTTTATTATTCAAGTAGGTCCCACCTATTGTTTCAGAGGTCAATGAGCTTTTTCATTGCATTTCATCTGAACCTTAGCCCCTGGCCAACCACACTCTTGCTTCTTAGGCAAACATTCTGCAGCAGCTGGGTTGGAAACTATCATTCCACACATCACAGCAAATCTCAGACAACTTGAGTTTAATTATTCCCTGTTGACTGGCTTTGCCATTACTAAAATCTCTTTTAACACACTGACATTGAGAGTGGAAGTGTAGGGTTTCTGAGCTCTCAGCACAATAGCTTTCGCATTAATATCTCACGGTTTATTTCATACAGCAAAGGCCTGCTTGTGGTGTCTAAAATTTGTTTAAACATAAATTGCAAAGAAAGGCATGGCTGACACAATACAGCTCTATACAGTGGAGAGAAAGGCTGTGTGAATAGGCTTAGATACTTTCTAAAAAGTACATTCCTCTCATAAGAAAAAAAAATTTTGCCTTTCAAGTGCATGTCAAAGAGATTTTAATCACCCTTTTGTTTTTGTTCATTTTTTTAAGAACACATTTATGTCTTATGACTTTGCTAAATAAATAATGTAGGTATAGTGTATCCCAAACTGAACTTTTCATGATGTTTAACACGCTGTAATTTCGTGATTAATAGCGCCTAATCTGAATGTCCCATGAAAACTTTGTGCAGCAAGAGGTGTTCAGTGTTACTAAAGGTTAGCAACCTCACAAAAGGGACAGTTTAGTGCTTGTTTCCAGGGAGCTTTATAGTCCCACAAGTTATAAGAAAAACAATTAAACTCTGGCATTGGATAGCTAGTGTAACATGCCGTAGGTTTTATCACTGCCTAGAAAGTAATACAGAGAGAAAGAACTGAACAATGTATGTTTTAAAAATTCATTTTGAAATATTAAACACGGGAGGACCTAGCATGTGGACACGACTGTTCTAAAGATAGTATGTATTTAGTGAATTTTATCTTAGCCGGCAAACACCCCCAGATTCCACTAAATAATACACGGCCAGAATCTTCTGCTGCTTTCCTGGCCATAAACTACTTTCCCCACCTGAGCGCCAAACTTCTAGCTGATGCCTGTAGAACCCACTGAAGTGTGGTAGGATTGACTCTGAGGAACCAAGGTCCTTCTTGATGGTGGTATCTTGACTCTGCTCTATTTGAGAGTTAAGGCACATTACCAATTTCACAAGTAGTAGTAAAAAAAAAAACCCAAATCTGATTATGGCTCTCCTCTGTCAAAACCCTCCAATGGTTCTCCGCTGCATTCACGAGAAAGCTCAAAACTTACGTCATCACTTACGAGGCCCTCCATCATCTGGCTTCTGCAAACTCCTCTGCCTACCACCTCTCTTCATTCTTCGCCAAACTGGTCCTCTCAAAGTTCCTTAAACTGCCCACAGTCTGTCACTCACTTTGTACATATATGTTCATTTGTTCATTGACTCACCCGTTCAATATCTATTGAGCATTGACTGCCAGGCACCATGCTGACTGTGAAGGGCTATGTCAGAGGATAAAATAGATGTGTTTTGTACCCTCTTGATGTCTATAAACTAATCAGGAAGCCAGAAACAGAAGAAATAACTCCAAAAGCTGTCCTCTCAGACTGTGTTTCTCTTGCACATGGCTCTCTCATTCTTATATTTCACATCTCACATTAAACCTCCTTTCCTGGAGAGGCTTCCCTGTTGCTTCCTCCAGGTTAGAGCCTACTGATACATGCTGCAGAAATCCAACAGAATCAAATGAATAGGAATTAGACTTCAGACTTTATGGAAGCCCAGATTGACTCTGTGGTTTCCCCTTGAGTCTTCATTGGTCGTCTTTATTCGCTTGGTGGTGTTTAGCTTTGGCGGTGCAAGGCCGTGCCTAGCTGTTTGGGTGAGGGGCTGGCATACGAGGTGGAGAAGTGTCTGGAAAAGCTGGAGGGAATCGTTTGTTGATTATCTATCCATCATGAGTATTTTATTCCTATTAAAATAGAGTTGACCCTTAAACAACATGGGTTTGGACTGCGTGGGTCCACTTATATGTGTATTTTTTTTCAATAAATATGTACTGTGGTATTACATGATCCAGAGCCCCAGATGGTTGATCTGCAGATGTGCAACCGCAGGTAGGGAGGGCTGACTGTAAAGTTATATGCAGGTTTTTGACTATGCAGAGGGTGGGTCCCCCTAACCCTCCCATGTTGTTCAAGGGTCAACTGTATTTGATCTTTATGCAAACATTGTGAAATGAGTATAGAGAAAGAGGAGAACATAAAACTACAGTCTGGAACTCTAGAGACAGACCATTCAAATCTGCCGCTGGGACCCCCCGTCTCCTCAGCTGTAATAATGATATTTCTCAGGATTGTTAGGAGAATTTTAGTTATATCAGATCATATTCACAAAGCCATCAAAATATGCCTGGCCCATTTTAAGTGCTGGCTTTTATTGTTATTCCCATGTTGTAGATGAGGAGAAAGGCTTGGAAGGGTTGGGTACCTTTTGAAGATCATAAAGCTAGAAATAAAAAACAAAAGAGGCAGGGTTGAGACACAATCTGTCCAATTTCAGACTCAAGTATCTCCTCTCTACACCAAAGCAGGTAAATATCCACCCAGTCAGTGAGTGAAGGTGACAGAAAAGGCACTCAATGATTACCAGAAGAGAAAGAGTCTGTGTTTAGAAGCCTGAGTTTTAAGAAGTTGTCTTCATGCCTGGTTTCTGTGAATACAGCCGTGCTTGATTTCTTAAGTAATGGGCAGCAGTGGCCATGTGAGTAATATGCCAGATGGTTGTTTAAATCCCTGGGAAGCAGCATATTCTTCTGTTTAATTTTAAAATACAATGTGTCAGGTTGAGAAGGGAAGATAAGAAAGGAATGGCCTTGTCTTGTGCTGATAAATTGCTTTCTCCAAATATACCTTCAGGTGGACACCATTCTACACTCTCAGACCTGTTGCCTTTCCTTACAAGGTCCAAGGAGCCATGGTTTAAAAAAATATATCTGTATTATCCCAATGTGGATATAATGTCTCTTAAAAATTGTCCATAATTAAAACATTATTGATATGACTGATCATTTAGGTATAAAATTAGTGAGTCTTGATTTTTCTTTATATGAAGATTTTTTCACATTATGTTATTTACAATTATTATTTTTTCTACCTATCTTTTGTAGCAGTCTAGAGGGTTAGCAAGGAAACCTCTATAATTTTAATGCCATATGTCCATCCCTGTCCCTTACACTAGGAATGTATGACCACGCTGGAAGAAAATGCTTACTGGTAGGGCTAGTACCGATTTGTGCAAAATTTAGTTCCATTTTAATTGAACATCTAATGTGAGCCAAGGACAAAGATATAAGACATTTTTTCTGCCTTGGAAATCTTAGAGTTTACTGATAAATATATACAAATAGATATTTTTTTTAAATGTAGATAGATTTATGGCTGTGAGGCTGTGGAAACATAGCAAAATGCCCACCACTGGGAGTTTGGGGATTTGCAACACATTTCTGGAGATTAAGTCTTTAAAATGATGAATGTGAGTTAACCAGGTAAATAGAGGGTAGAGAGGGTTGCTGAGAAAGTAGGACCTGCCAAAGCAAAGGCTCAGAACCTGGATGCGAGGACTTACAGACTGGTCTGTACTTGTGGATGGCAAAGCACAAGGCAGGGAGCAAGAGGACCTGCGTTGACACAATTGGTGGGGGCCACATGGAGTGTTTGTTGTGTCGTCTTAAGTTCCTTGGCTTCAGGCTGCCAGTAATAGACAGTCATTGAAGGATTTTGAGCAGTGAATTAACATGGTTTGATTTGTACACAAGCTAATTCATCAGCTGCATTCAGCAGAATGGGTCTAATGAAGGCAAGTCTGGATGCAAGGAGTTGAGTGTGATACTTAAAAAGAGAGAAAACCAGCAACAGTGAGAAGCACCTGATATGAGAAATATTTAGCAAATACAGCTGATGAGGCTCGAGGGTCGGCTAGATTTGGGAAGTGAGAGAAGTATAGAGTTTAAGATGGTGCAAGCCAGAAAAAGAGCGTGAACACAAAATGTTTTCAGAGTTGGCTGCCCTGATTTTAAGATGCCTCTAGGATGACTGGATACCCCAGTCTGGAGTTCAGAGGGGAGCTTGCGGTTAGAGACATCGTCAGGGAGTTACCAGCATAGGAGGGGAGGGAGGAGTAAAGCTTTGAGAATGGCTGGAAGACAAGCTGGGCCATGTTAAAGGGAGAATGGGCTGAAGACAAAATCCTGGGAGAAACCCAGCATTTACTCAGCAGAGAGATTGAAAATGACCCCAGTGGAGGATCCTGAAAAAGAACCCAGAGGAGAAGGTGAGCGAGGAGAAAGTGAGTCATGAATGCGAAACAAGTAGACCATTTCAAGGAGGCAGTGGCTATCAGTGTCAAATGTTGTCATTTTTGCCTGTAATTTATTTGTTCCTATGCTATTTTTGTTTTTACTGCATTTGCTAATTATGAGAATAAGTATGATACAAGTAGGGCCAAAAGGAAAAAATATGTTCTCTCCTTAAGGGTAGGCTCTGGAAAGATAACATTTTCTTGTAAATAACATAATTATTATCGCAATCCTTTAATTGATAACTGTATACTAAGAGTTTATATGGTGCCCTGATATTCAATATCATTTTATGTTCACATGAATCCAATAAGAGAAGCATTGAGACCTTACTTAGATTTGTACCCTTTTTC